GATTGCGGCGTGACCATCCCCCCTGGGGGATGATTTCTCGCTTTCTGTCTCTATGTCTCTCTCTGTCTGTCTGGTGAGCGCACGCGCCCTATAGCGAAAATCTCTCCAAAAAAAAAAAAAAAGAATAAAAGCTACCTAATTATTTTTTGAAGTCAGGATAACTGATACCAACATCCTTCAAAAGTTTGGACCCCTACCCCCAAAATAAACTATACACTGCTATCTCTGAAGAATATAAAAGCTAAAGTAAAATATTAGAGAACCAGCCCATGGTATGGTGATTAAGGCAACTGGATCCCACATGACCATCCATACAGTTTAAGTCCCAGACCTGATAGGTTGAGAAATACTCCAGGCACTTGTGCATGCATGCTCAGAATCCTGAAAGGAGGGAGAAATGGAGGAGACAGGATTGCAACATGACCATGCTCTGTATGTGTGTGTGTGTGTGTGTGTGTGGAGGGGGGGGTTCTCACTTTCCCTCTCTTTCTCTATCTCCTGTGATTTCTCACTTTCTGACTCTCTGTCTCTCTCTGACTTTCTGGCGAGTGTACGTGCCCTATAGCAAAAACCTCTCCAAAAAAAGAAGAGAAAAGAAAAGAAAAAAAGAAAAACCATCATGCTATAGAGATGTACAACAATGGAATGAAAACAGGAAATCATAAAATTGAAAACAGAAAAAGCCGAAGTCAAAAAAAAAAAAAACCTTAGAGAAATATTGTCATAGAATCTCAGGATAAACATAGAATCCATCAACAGCTGTCCAGAAATTTTAATATAAGTCAGCTGTTTTGAACTTGGGATTTATTTTTCCCTCCTGCACTTGACCCAACCACTATAATGCACATTGCTAAGATGCTATGCTCCTCAGTCTGGGACCACATGGGAGGGTTCAATTCTCTGTCCAACTTAAAAGCCAGGTGTGGTAGTGTAGACATGGTGGCATGTACTAATAATCCCAGCAACTGGGATTGACACAAGAGGATTTTGAGCTTGAGGCTAGCCTGGGAAACACCCTGTCTGAAGAAGAGCCAGGTGTGGTGATGTGTGCCTGTAATTCCAACTGAGGGGAGGATCACAACATGGTGAGCCCTGTCTTAAAAGATATATGTTTAGAGAGAATTAAGTGTAGGTGGTGTTTCCTACATCAACATACAAAATTCTGTTTGATTCATAACATAACTAAACTACAATGATATTTGCTCATACTTGTTTTATGGGATTTTTATTGATTACAAAACATTTTCACAAGAATAAAAGCTACTGGGAACCAGCAGTTAGCATAATGGCTATGTCGCTGGACTCACTCTCCAAAAAAAAAAAAAAAGAATAAAAGCTACCTAAATATTTTTTGAAGTCAGGATAACTGATACCAACATCCTTCAAAAGTTTGGACCCCTACCCCCAAAATAAACTATACACTGCTATCTCTGAAGAATATAAAAGCTAAAGTAAAATATTAGAGAACCAGACCATGGTATGGTGATTAAGGCAACTGGATCCCACATGACCATCCATACAGTTTAAGTCCCAGACCTGATAGGTTGAGAAATACTGCAGGCACTTGTGCATGCATGCTCAGAATCCTGAAAGGAGGGAGAAATGGAGGAGACAGGATTGCAACATGACCATGCTCTGTATGTGTGTGTGTGTGTGTGTGTGTGGAGGGGGGGGTTCTCACTTTCCCTCTCTTTCTCTATCTCCTGTGAGTGCATAAATCCTCTCACAAATTAAAAACAATATTAGAAATAGAATCCAGTAGTACATTAGAATATATTTATTCTTTGCTGAGTAGCATTTCTCCTAGTAATACAAGAGAGTTCATTTTTTATTTTTTCTATTTACCAGAGAGAGAGCATGTGCGAGAGAGAAAGGAAGAGAGGAAGAGTCAAAGGGAAAAGGAGGGGGGGCTGGAAAGTGTCCTCTATGGTATGTGCTCACACCACAATCCTTTCTCCTCCATTTCACCACCCCATTGGGATTCTGGGCATGTACGCATACATACCTAGCATGGTTCTCAAGCTGTTTCTCCAGGTTCAAATCTAGAACCACATGATTGGCTGCTGGGACCTGCTTGGCAGAATGCATTTTTTTGTTTTAGAAATAAACATAAAAATAAACACACAAAGACATACAAGTATAGAAAAGTGAGGATCAGGTGGGCCTGACTTCTCTGATGGGGAAAGCTGCAGCCATGAACCAGCTTTAGGTTTGTTATTTTTAGGGCAGAAAATGGGAGAAGTGGAAATAGAATACAAAGTCAGTTGTTTTCAGATGTTAATCAGTCGATGATGCGAGGACAACTGGTGCCATGTAATTTCTCTGATCTTTTGGGGCTGGTTCTGATAAACACACATGACTTCCTTTAACCCTATAATACTCTGCAGTATCGATAACAGCATGCAACTAGCACGTTCAT